GCAGCCAACAGAATGGATGAGGAGACACCTGCCTTGGACCACTGATCTATGTAGTTCAGCAGTCTTGAGCCCATCAGTACTCAAGGGGCTCTAAGCCTCCTCTGTAAGTCAGGATGGAATTAGATGACACCACATTTCTGTCTGATGTAGACACTCCTCCCAGAGTCTCCAAATGTTTTAGCATCTTACAGCAAAAATCTTCCAGTCTGTCAGTTCTTGATTTAAAAAGAGCACAGCAATCTGTTTAGAGCTTCCTTGAGCCCTCTATTTTAATGTGCCTTTGTAGATAATTCCCAGTATCTTGTGTCCTTCATCTTTATGATTTATCAGACTTGTCATAAACCCCAGTATTCTAATCTCTTACTGAATAATCCGTATCCAGGGTTGTTTCTCTTCAAACCTGGCCTTGCCCTGCTCATTCCATTCTTAGCCATTTCCATTGGGTTCACCAGCTAATTCCATTCTCATTCTATCCACTCCGTGCACCAGATTCACTCCCCCTTTGTATTATTAAAACACATGCCAGGCCAGGTGTGGTGGCTCACACCTGTAATCCCCGCACTTTGGGAGGCGAAGAAAGACAGATCAACTGAGGTCAGGAGTTCAAGACCAACCTGACCAACATGGAGAAACCCCGTCTCTACTAAAAATCCAAACTTACTTGGTCATGGTGGCACATGCTTGTAATCGCATGTACTTAGGAGGCTGAGGCAGAAGAATCGCTTGAACCCAGGAGGTGAAGGTTGTGGTGAGCCAAGATTGTGCTACTGCACGCCAGTCTGGCAACAGGAGTAAAACTCTGTCTCAAAAAACACATGCCAATAGACTAGAAAAAGAAGGAAGACTATTGGGCTTTAAAACGTGTTCAGATCTCATTTCTAGCGTGTCTTGTGTCCAAAAAAAGCATCCTCATCTCTAAGTCTCAGGTTCTCAATCTAGAAAATCACTTGAACACGGATTGAAGTCCTTGAAGGTATTTTAATTAGTCCCAAGACTCCTTAAACTTCTGTAATTCTGTGGACTTTTGGTTCTGTCTATAGGAAAATTCAGAATACACAGCCAGCAGAATTTGAAAACTTCCAGTCCGATAGCCAAACCTTTATTCTGTCATAAAGACTTTGATGGTTAATTTAAAAAAAAAAATTCTGGTTACCACAAAAATTGTCAAATATATTAGGACAAACTCAAGGACTAACCTCATTACTAAGAGAGACCTAAAATGAGAGTTTAACTTACTTAAACTCATTAATTTAGACATTAATTAAAATAATTTATCTGATTAATCTTATTCAGACCTATACCTTGATCAAAGTTCTGCACAAGTATCTCTATCAATCTGTGCTGATTAGCAAGAAAAAAGATTTGAAAGGCTGATGGCCAAACTGTGGGCCAGCTACTTTTTGAACTATGGGATCATGATCCATTTAATCAACCTCTCTAAACCACAGTTGCCTATTTAATAAACAGTAGGTTATAAGAAAACAGACATGATGGCTTTGAGGTGCATTTAATAGGGTGGTTAGCCCAGAATACACACTCAATAGATATTAGTTTTTTCCATCTATGTTTTCTTAGTTAACATAATTTTTTAAAACTGTAAAGTCCTACCTGACTGGAGATTCATCAGAACTCCCACAACCTATTAAAGAAAAAATGCATTTTCAATCAGTAATGTATAGAATATTAAAACCATAAGAAAGGACAGTTATGCATGGCTATAATTTCAACTATTTGGGAGACTGAGGAAGGAGTATCACTTGAGAAACCCAGAAGTTTGAGACCAGTTTCGGAAACATAGCAAGATGCTACCTTCATTTAAAAAAAAAGTATCCACAGTTCTGTAAATGATTTAGATCATTTTTCTTTAAAGTATACAACTGATGCTTTGTTATAAAGCATTCATTTGGGAGCTTATTAGATTGGATCTTATTAGAATTAATATAAATTATACCTATTGGTATGTGATTAGTGCAGTAAGAACTCTTACTTCCCTTACTTCGTATTTATTAAACACAAAGAAGAATAAACTTATCAAAATTTGGTATCTACAAGTGAACTGCAGTATACAAGTCATCCTAGCCAAACCCTATGAAACTGAATAAAAATGGTATTGTTAGCAGAACAGACAGCATGAGTTACCAGTGTCAAACACCATGATTTCTGGACCAAAATATGAAGGGGGGCAGTTGAAACGGTAAACAGTAGTACTCCTTATCCACTGTATGTGTGGAAAAGACACATATGCCATGTTTTTCTCTGCTCTCACACCACAGCAACAATCATCAACAAAGAAAGCTTCTGTGACGAAACGTGGAGAGGTTTTTCCCACCAACAGGCAAGCAATCACTTCTGCAGATGACACAAACTGGGTGTCATCTAATTCAGTTCTCACACTCTGTCTGCAGACAGCATCAGATTCCACAGGTAAAGGTCTCAGTCCTGTGAGACTGCCTCGCTACATCAGTCCTAAGTCTGAAACTCCAGAACTTCTGACCAGTCAGCTTCAAATTGGGGTTCCCAGGACTCCCTCTTTGGGTTAAACTGAATTGCTGGAATGGCTTAAAGTACTCAGGAAACACACTTAGCAGCATGGTATGAATGACAGTACAAAAGGTAAAGATGAAGAGATGCATAGTGCAATGTATGGGGCTAGTGGCACAGAGATTCCATGCCCTCTCAGGACATACCACCCTCCAGGAACCTGTGTGTATTCAGCGATCTGGAAGCTCTCCAAGCCCAGTCCCTTTGGGTCTGTATGAAGGCTTCAATACATAGGCATAACTAATCAATCACTGGCTGTTGGTGACTGACAACTTTCAGCCCTTCTCTCCTCCCCAGAGTTTGCAGAGTGAGACAGAAGATCTCAACCCTCTAATCAGGCATGTCTTCAGCATGGTACCAGTTCCCATCCTGAATCTACCTAGGAGCTTCCAGCCATCAATCATTAGCATACTAAAAGACATCACTTTGGAAATTCTAAGGATTTTAAGAATTGTACACCAAGAAATGAGTCAAAGTCCAAACACAGATTTTACATCTGCAGTTTTGAATTATGTGGTTACAGCTCTAACAGTTAACTGTATTCCAAACACATTACATTGAAAACTCCAGAAATAAACAAGTCATAAGTGTTAGTGTGCCAGTCTGAGAGGCACAATAAAATCTTGAGCTCTTGCCCACTATCCATCCCAGGATGTGAATCATTCCTTTGTCCAGTGCATTCACACTGCATGTGCTGTCCAGCCCTAGTCATCAACATGGTCTCCTCCTGCATCCCGCCATCACTGTCATTGAGGCCTGAAGGTCCAGGAACACTCAAAGCTGATAATCTTTTTTTCTGACTTAGAGTCGGGGTGAATAGTGACCCAACACTACATGACAATGCCTACGTCATTCACCTCACCTCATCTCATTACATAGGTACTGCATCACTTCACATCATCACGGGAAAAAGGGTGAGAACCATACCATATATTTAAGGACCACATTCAAAAAACTTGCATTACAGCATATTACTATAATTTTCCATTTTTTTAATTAATTTCTTACTGTGCCTAATTTATCAATTCAACTGTATCGTAGATATGTAAGTATGGAAAAAAGTGAGAGTGATTCAGTACTATTTGTGCTTTCAGGCATTCACTGGGAGCCTCTGAATGCATCTCCCATAGTTAAGGGGGAACTACTGCACTTAGTTTGTTGTAACACAATACATTCTAGCTCTTTAGTTAAAACTGTTCAGTTTAGGATAAGACACCCTATCACCAAAAGTCAGCAAAACATAAGAATCAGACCAGAAACAGGGATTCTTGCAAAAACTTTCCAGCTGCCAGTGGAGAAGAGCTCAAGGGATATTAATGTGTTACCCTGGCCAATACTCTTGGGGAAGGTGCTGATTGTTTTACTTAGTTGTAGCTATGTGCTCTGCCCTACATAAAACAAGGCCCAAATTCACCTGCCATTTTACCTCCCACAGAAAGAACCACTTGAAAGATGACTGCTTTAAGAGCTTATCCACTCTGAACCACATCACAGAACAAGACTCTGTCTCAACAACAACAAAGAAACCTAATTGTTTCCATGTAAAAATAAGTCTAGGTCCACACCTGATCTGAAGAGTTCACAATGCCATGAGACAAGACAGAAATTTATTAAAAAATTAAATTCCTCCTTTCTGTAGAAATAAAACTATTGAATTTAAGCTTTTGTAAGACAAGTCAAGAAAAAGAGCAAAAAATGCAATAGTAAAACTTGAAAGGCCATTTCATAATCAAGGGCTCATGAGACTTTGACAAACTATATATATATTGTTCGAAACCTTGGTTCTGAATTTTGACATGAGTAAGTTGCAGTTTCATTCGCAGATGTTCAAGAGGTCAAATAAGACAATGTCATTTGCTATTTTCATTCTTTTTTTTTTTTTTTTTTTTTTTTTTTTTTCTCTTTAGAGAACAGTAAACCTCTTTAGAGAAATGAGTTGTCATAACTTCATAGGCTACAGGCTCATGAGTCATAATTCNTTTTTTAGAGAACAGTACATTAAACTTATTTAGAGAAATGAGTCGTTGTAACTTCATAGGCTAAAGGCTCAGGAGTCATAATTTTAAGGGCATTTGTAAAATGTGGTGGTGCATGCTTGCATTCTGAACTTTTCAGCCTTAAGCTCTCATGTAGTAAATATTCACAGATACAAACTGATTAAACAAAAGCTCCTTTTAATCTGACAGTCTTTTTCTTTTTTTGTTTGAGAGAGAGTCTTGCTCTGCTGCCAGACTGGAGTGCAGTGGGGCAATTTTGGCTCATTGCAACCTCTGTCTCCTGGGTTCAAGCGATTTCTGTCTCAGCCTCCCGAATAGCTGCGGCTACAGGCATGTGCCACCATGCCCAGCTATTTTTTTATATTTTAATAGAGATGGGGTTTCACCATGTTGGCCAGGATGGTCTTGATCTCCTGACCTCGTGGTCTGCCTGCCTTAGCCTCCCAAACTGCTGGGATTACAGGTGTGAGCCACCGCACCTACCTATTTTTCCTTTTCTGTTTTTTTTCTTTCTTCATTTATCAGCAACAGTAGAGTCTAATTCAATGTGGTAGAGTGGCATAAGGGAACGCAATGACAAGTATAAAATGAATTAAACCAGAGCGAATCACATCAGTGTGGATACATCTCGAAAATATAATACAAAGTACCCAAAAGAAAGTGGCAGAATGATATGTAAAGTGTAGAACCACTTACATTCCATTTTAGGACACAAATAAAACTTCTGCATATTATTTCTGAGAATCACAATATAGTTAAGGATTTCAAAAGGATATTGAAATGGAAAACAGCCAGTGATATTGGTAGCCTCAATGCAATTATTTTTTTAAAAAACGTTTATACCAAAAAGTCTCAAAACCACCATTTTAAGACTGTCAGTTATGAATGAATTACTTTCCTAGTTTTTAATAATCAAAGATGCCACAAACACACCCATATACATAGCCATACGCACACATGCACACAGTCTGCTCATTAGACCATCTCATTGGTTTCACAGCATCGGTGTAATAACATTAACAGGAAGCCTCTAACATTAATACAGAAACTAATATCTAAATAAAGCATTCCTTTAGGTAAGTATCAGAACTCCAACTATAGCACATAAGATACTGGAAATATCTTAGAACCTCAAAATTCACTGCTTTGAATCCGACAAGTATAAAAATTCCTTATTGGAAACGTTATGCTATTCAAAATATTAAAATAGAAGCATCTGAGTTAAAACTCATATTTTTAAAATCTTGTTTTCTTATACTTCTAAATTTAATTTTATTGAAACATGAATACCAACAATAACATTTATGTCAATGCCTTCCATTCAATTTAGAATGAAAAGAATTAGGGGTAAGAAAAATTTGAGTACTTCCAATCATTTAATATACTTATTTCCAGCATTCCATTTGTATTGAAAATGTACCTGCTCTCAATGTCTGTACATTCTTTCTTTGTACTGCTTCTGTCACAACATGATCTTCAGTGGTAGGCTGACTTGAGTTTTAAAAGAAAATAATAAATCATATATATTTTATGCAATACAAAGTAACTAAAAATAAATATATATAATTACCTCCAAGGAAGGATGTTATTCAGGAGGCCTTACAAAGGAGAGGGGACACGTCATCGATTATATGTAGATGTGACAGGGCCAACCAAACATTCATGCAGTGTTAATATCAAGCTGAGTCCCCATGCCTGGCTCTGAAAACAATTAATGTTGAGGATTCTTTTTGGCATCTTCTTTTATTGCCTAGGACAGCAAGGTGATGGAAATATACTGAGTAAAATAGGAATATAGGATTCCTAAATCACAAACTTTGTATTTCAAAAGTGAGATTGTTTCAAATGCCTATAACTAAAATAGAAAAGTATGGATATTAATGTGAACATGTTGAGCTGATATTGATAAAAGGGACCATTAAACAGTGGAGCAAATCATAACCTTAGAGAATCAATGTCAAGGCTGATGATGAATGCTACAGAGTATTTAAACTGGAAAACATCAGAGGCATTGATGCCAGAACACTACAAATATTTATCATGTGCTTCCCCTTGTCCTGTCACTTAGGAAATAGACAGTTGGGATGCCAGTTCAGGTGAATGTGTGATTCACCTCTCATCAAAGAAAGTGTTCTAAATTGATCAGCTATGATACACACTTATGAAATAACAGTTTCTCAAAATTCTCATTTTCCTGTGCCCACGTGGCTACTGAAGCACCTACATTTCTCATATCCTCTTGTTTGATCTTTTCTTAAGAGTTCCTTGATCCACTCATGCAAGACTTAAAACACATCAAATAAACTATATAGAATAAGCCTTCAGTATCAAAATATTTATCAAAAGAGAAAACATTGAATTGCCACAGTCTTGATAGAAAAGAATAAACTTTTGTATTTCAAGATCAGTGCAGTATTCTTAGAAAATTTGAATACCAAATACAATTTGAATACCAAATACCAAAATACAATTTTGGTATTCAAAGAATAAATTTTATAATACGACTGCTTCTAAAATTAGCTAAGTTCGATATGTCATCTTACTCTATAAACGACTTGTATAAAACAGATATAATATCAAATAACTGGCTAACACCCCCCCCCCCAAATTAGCCAAAATGCAACTTAATCACATCTTATTCACTCATGTCAAAGAAACTTCTTGCTCTGAGGCCTGATAGTTATGAAGAGAAATTAGCTGCTATGCTTTACCCCAGTTCTAGCACTCCTCCTGCCTCCAAGTACCCTCCACAGCAATAACCGCTTTTGCTAGATGGGGCATATGCCCAAGGAACTGCAAGTGAGGTGTCTCAAGTTCCCTTTGTTTTAACTCCAAAGTCCCCCAAGAAACCCTTTTCCCCCCTCGTTGCCCTTTCACAATCCCTTTTCCTTTGCAAAAGTAATCTTTAGATCTGTCATCCTGACGCTTCTCTTCCTAACTGCTTTTTGTGGATAATTGCGACCACTTTTTTCATCTGTGTTCAGCCGTAGTATACACCAAGAATTTCATTTTTCATCTCATTCTGCTTCCTCTGTGGCCAGAATCCTACTTCAGAAATAAAAGGAGAATAATGCCTTCCCTTGATTCTATTATTTTTAAAAATTGCTTTCCAGTGGTTCTTTTTCCAGATTATTCTAAAGGAAGGCTAGTTCCTTGTTACTCAGAGCTATGTCTGAGGAACAGCACCAACACCACCTGAGTACTCCTGAGAAATGCAGAATCCCACATGTGCTGAATGACAATGTCCATTTTCCAGAAGCTCCTCAACTAATTCATGAAAATTTGGATGCCCTGTTCTACACTAATGTGCTTCCACATTTGTTTACCGTAATCATCCATCTGGAACTTAGCCTCAATTTCTTCCCTATTAAGTCCCTGAATTTAATTCTGCATTATAAGCCATTATGTTTCTAATAAACTTAATCACGCTATACCTTCTCTAACTTTCTCTCCATAAATCACAAGACACTATTCAATTATGTTAATATGGCCTATATGATACTATCCGATGAAATTATAACATTTTCTATAAAATTAAATTATGTCCATACATGGCTGACCATTTATGGTGATACTCATCTATGGTAGATAAAACACAGGTGTGTGGTGAGGTACCTCAGTACTTAATGCCTCTCCAATAGTGAGAATGAGAGCAAGAGCAGGAAGGTGTTACTCTAATTCTCTGACACATTTTGGTGCTGAAAGCTCACCTTCTTTCCTATTTCTATCACCCTGCTCTTCCTTCTTCTACAAATCAATTTGACTTTACTACCCTCCTTTACATACACCCACATACTGTTTCTTCACTTATTCCATGTACACTCTGCCCTCCTCATTCTTTTTTATTCATTTCCTCTTCCCTCTTTCCTGACTTGCCTCACATCTTAGAGTATCTTTAAATGGAAACTAATAATTCAGCTCTTTGGCGGTACTCAATAGACTCAACTGCTGACCCCTAATAGATATACAACTTATCACCATTTTACTTCTCCTTTCCTTATTATACATTTAATAGAATATTTTCTTTAGCTATTTGAATATATTAGTGCTCATATTTTTTTTAAAATTCCATCAAATTCCTTTTAAAAAAAAAAATAGTATTCTTACCTTCTCCTTTTACATGGACTATACTCTGTGTTTTTTTTCCATTGGAAGGTCTAGGTAAAGGCTCCAAAACTTTCTCAGGGACATACTGTTGAGGTAATATCAAGCATGAGTTTCCATTTAAAAAATTATAATGAGTTGCATAAAAAAGTTTCCTATCAATTTTCTTTTTTTGAAACAGGGTCTCACTCTGTCACCCAGGGCTGGAATGTAGTGGCATGATCATGGCTCAAGGCAATCTTAACCTCCCGATCTCCAGCAATCTTCCCACCTCAACTTCCTGAGTAACTGGAACTACAGGTGCGTAGCATCATGATAGGCTTTTTTATTGTTATTTTTGTAGAGACAAGGTCTCACTCTATTGCCCAGGCTGGTCTCAACCTCCTGGTGTTTTTTGTTTTGTTTTGTTGTTTTTCAGTCAGAGTCTCACTCTGTCACCAGGTGCCAGGCTGGAATGCAGTGGCATGATCTCGGCTAACTGCAACCTCCCCCTCTCAGGTTCAAGCAATTCTCCAGCCTCAGCCTCCTGAGTAGCTGGGACTATAGGCCTACACCACCACACCCAGCTAATTTTTTTTATATTTTAGTAGAGATGGGGTTTCACCATGTTGGCCAGGATGGTCTCTATCCCTCGACCTCATGATCCACCCACCTCGGCTTCACAAAGTGCTGGGATTACAGGCGTGAGCCACCATGCCCGGCCCAAACTCCTGGTCTTAAGTAATCCTTTCACTTCTGCCTCCCAAAGTGTTGAGATAACCAATGTGCACCACCACACCCCACACTAATCAATTTACTTAAAAAATTTCAGTTTACCCAAGCTTGGTGGCTCACTCTTAAAATCCCAACCCTTTGCAAAACCAAGGTAGGTGGATTACTTGAGCTTGGAGTTCAAGACAAGCTTGGGTAACATAATGAGAACCTGTCTCTACAAAAAAAAATACCAAAATGAGTTAGTCATTGTGGTGTGTGCCTGTAGCTCCAGCTACTTGGTAGGCTTATGTGGGAGGATTACTTGAGCCTGGGAGGTGGAGACTGTAGAAAGCCAAGGTCATGCCACTGCACTCCAGCCTAGGCAACAGAGCAAGACTGTCTCCCCCTAAATTTCAATTTACTATTTTAAAACTAATTTGTCTTAAAAAAATAAGAAGCATGTACTGAAGACCAAAGCATTCCAGTAAAGAATGTCATCTACACTTTCTAGATCAGGCTCATCTGTTATCTTCGTATGTCCATTCACTTGCTTATCCAAGCATGGCAGCCCAAAGAAAACATATTCAGAAAAAGAATATCAGCATGTGCATATTTTAGTCAGAAACTAGCTTCAAGGTACCTAACTCTACTTTGTAATCTCCACCAAAAATAAGAAAACATTTTAAAAATACATACTGGCAGCCGAGCGCAGTGGCTTATGCCTGTAATCTCAGCACTTTGGGAGGCTGAGGCGGGAGCATCACGAGGTCAAGAGATCGAGACCATCCTGGCCAACATGGTGAAACCCCGTCTCTACTAAAAAATACAAAAATTAGCTGGGCATGGTGGCGCACGCCTGTAGACCCAGCTACTCAGGAGGCTGAGGCAGGAGAATTGCTGGAATCTGGGAGGCAGAGGTTGCAGTGAGCCTAGATTGCACCACTGCTCTCCAGCCTGGTGCCTGGAAACAGAGCAAGACACTGTCTCAAAATATAAATGTATATATGATATATATATATTATAATGTTATCCATATATGTTATATATATAATATGTATGATATGTTATACATATGATATATATTTTGGCCAGTTGGATTGGCTCACGTTTGTAATTTCAGCACTTTGGCAGGCCTAGGCGAATGTACCACTTGAGATCAGGAGTTTGAGAGCAGCCTGACCAATACAGTGATACTCTGTGTCTACCAAAAATAAATAAATTATCCCAGATTGGTAGTGTGCACCTGTAGTCCCAGCTGCTTGGGAGGATGAGACAAGAGAATTGCTTAAACCCAGGGGGTGGACATTGCACCACTGCAGTCCAGCCTGGGTAGAAGAGCAAGATTCCATCTGAAAATGTTATGTATATACAAATATATATATATAATACATATATATGTATATATAAAATTATATATATTTTATAAAATATATACATATATAATATATACATCTATATAAGATATATAAATATGTATTACTTGGTGTCATACATACAATATTAAAAAAATTAAATATCCTCATATAAATATTTCAGTGTTAAGATATTTATGATAGAAAACTTGGAAATATGTCATATTGAGTATCAATAAAACACCATAGAAGATGCTTCATTTAGGTAAACAAAGACTTCGAAAAAACTACATTTTTGTTATAAAATCCTTACTGACAGAAAAACAAAGGTTCAATAGAATGATAATGTAGTAATAAAATTTGTTATATTTAAATAAAAGCAAGCAAATATGTGATCAACTGTAAAAATACTGTTTTTTTTTTTATTATATTTTTAGTTCTGGAATATATGTGCAGAACATGCACGTTTGTTACCTAGGTATACACGTGTCATGGTGATTCGAGGCATCCGTCAGGCCAGGGGCAGTGAACCACACCTTTAATCTTAAGACTTTGAGAGGCCAAGGTGGTTGTATTGCTTGAGCCCTGGAGTTTAAAACCAGCCTGGGAAAAATGGTCAAACCCCATCTGTACAAAAGACACATAAATTAGCTTTGCATGGTGGTCCATGCCTGTAATCCCAGATACTCAGAAGACTGAAATGGAAGGATTACATTACCCTGTAAAGTCAAGGCTGCAGTGAGCTGAAATTGCGCTACTGCACTTTAGCATAGGCAACAAAGTGAGACCCTGTCAAGAAAGAAAAGAGAAAAGGAAAGGATGAGAAAGAAAGAAAAGAAAAAGAGAGAGAGAGAGAGAAAGAACAAACTTCAAAAGTGTAGCAAGCTTTCTTTAAAAGGAAGAAAAAAAAACATTTATTTAGGAAGTATCTAAAATGTGCCAGGATTCTATTTCACATTTGCTGTACATAGTGTAATTATAAAAAATAATTTTGATGATGGCTTTCTGCCCATTCCAGGGAGTTAAGAGCAAACTGATGGATAGGATCTTTTGTTCTCTCCATTCAGAATTTCCACCTCTTAGACTTTCACATGGCTGGCTGTTTCTCCTCCTCTAGTTGGCAGCTTAAATCTGATACTCAGAGGGCTGTTCTCTGACCACAGATTTCCAGTCCTACTCCCATTCACATCCTAACTACAAACTTTCTTGTTATCTTCTAACATTTTCTGTTTTCTTTATGGAAAGCATTTATAGTGAGAAGTATTTGCTCTTTTTCTGTTCTTACTGCTATAGCATAAGATCTCATCTTGTATATTCAGCGTCTCACTGACTAGCAGAGTTTATGATCTATAACCAAAATAAATTCTAGGTCAAATCACTTAAAATTTCATCACAAAGTCTCATGTGCCAAACCCTGTGTTCCTACAGGACATATTCATTCGTAGCCTGCTGAAACTGAACACACCCCTACCCCAAATTTAAAATCCACGTGCCATTTCCTACTTTTCCATTCTTTTCTTGATGCTACTGCCATTTTATCATCCTTCAGGTTTACAAAAATTTTCCTCGAGATTTACTAAGTCACAGAATACTGAATACTGCTATGATCATTTTGTCTCAAATGTGTCAACATATTTTCCAGATTACATATGCTTTTACATTTCCTACTACTTTTGTTTATTACACATACCTTAGTACCATTTTTATGAACAAGGTCAATGACAAATAATTTTTCCCAAGGTCCCATACCTAGTAAGTGGCAGAACCAGGATGCTAACATGTCTTTTGACTTCTACTTGGTGCTGGTAAAACTATGCACAAGCTGCTTCTAGCAAAAAATCAGGCCCCTCCCATTTCTCTCCATAGATATAACATTACAGTACACAATTATTACTTTATACTTCTGCTGCTATAAGTGTGGCTGCCACAGTAGTACTTAGTGTGTTCTCTTTTTGAAAATGACTTCCACTTACAACACTAAACAATTGTAATTACAGTCCCACATAGTTATTATTCCTCATGCTTTTTCTATTAACCTAAAATGTTCATTGTAGATCTATATTGGACAATCAAAATATATAAACATACTAAAATCCCAGCATTATCTTTTCAAGTTCCAATTTCAATAAAAACTACAATTCAAACTGTTTCTAACTCTCCTTTTGATTTTGCACATCCAGACGTACCACAGAATGATACATTTGGCCACAGCTTAACCTGAAATAATTCTTTTTCTTTTTTTTCTTTTTTTCTTTTTCTTCTTCTTCTTTTTTTTTTTTTTT